CTGGTTTGGCTCAGTGGATAGAGCATCGGCCTTCAGACTGAAGAGTCAAGGGCACATGCCCAGGTTGCGGGCTTGATCCCCAGTAGGGGGCGTGTAGGAGGCAGCCGATCAATGATTCTCATCACTGATGTTTCTCCTCTGAAATCAATAAAAATATATTTTTAAAAAATAGAACTCATACAACTGAATAGCAATAATAATCTACACTAATAAAAGAGAAACATGGTAATTGGCGTACGACCGCTACCCTTTTCATTGACTAATCAGTGAGTATATGCAAATTAGCTGTCAGCCAAGATGGCGGCCGGCAGCCAGGCAGCTGGAAGGGAACATGAGGCTTGCTTGCTGCGGACTCCAACGTTCCCCATCTCACTAGCCGGCCTCTGAGCTACAACTCTAAGAAACTATGTACTATGTTGCAAATAAGAAGATAAACAAAACACCAGAAATCAGCTGGACTGAAACCCAGCCGGACCGAAACATTGTATCCATGTTTTCAGCAGCGAGGCCTCAGAGCTAAAGCTGGCCCAGAATAAAAAAAAAAAAGAAGAAGAAAACAAGGAGCGGTTGGGAGCTTTAGTCACTCGCCACCCGGAAAACAGCCCTCAGCCCCTCAGCCAGCCTGGCCAGGCACCCCAGTGGGGACCCCCACCCTGATCTGGGACACCCTTCAGGGCAAACCAGCCAGCCCCCACCCGTGCACCAGGCCTCTATTCTATATAGTAAAAGGGTAATATGCCTCTCAGCACCGGGATCAGCGGAGCAGCGAGGCTCCCGGCACCGGGATCAGCGTGACAGGGGGCAGCGCCCAAAACCCCTGATCGCCCTGCGGCTCTGTGTGTGACAGGGGGCGGTGCCCCAACTCCCCTATTGGCCCTACTCTGTGTGTGACAGGGTAGAGCCATAACCTCTCCATTGGCCCTGCCCCGAGTGTGACAGCGGTGGCGCCCCATCCCCCTGATCGGCCCTGCTCTGTGGGTGATAGAGGGTGGTGCCCCAACCCCCCTCCACGGGCCTTGCTCTGTGTTTGACAGGGTAGAGCCATAACCTCCCCATTGGCCCTGCCCTAAGTGTGACAAGGTGCAGCGCCCCAACCCCCTGATCCGCCCTGCTCTGTGTGTGACAGGGGGCGGTGCCCCAACTCCCCTATCGGCCCTACCCTGTGAGTGACAGGGGGGAGCTCCTCAACCCCCTGATCGGCCCTGCTCTGTGCGTGACAGGGAGGAGCTCCCCAACCCCCTGATGGGCCCTGCTCTGTGTGTGACAGGGTACGGAGCCCCAACCCCCCTGATGGGCCCTGCTCTGTGAGTGACAGGGGGCAGCGCCCCAACCCCCTGATTGGCCCTGCTCTGTACATCACAGGGGATGGCACCGCAACCTCCCCATTGACCCTGCCTTGAGTGTGACAGGGGGCGGTGCCCCAACCCCCCAATCAGCCCTACCCTGAGCGTGACTGAGGGTGGCATCGCAACCTCCTGATCCGCACTGCTCTGTGCATGACAGGGGGTGGCGCCCCAACTCCCCAATCAGCCCTGCTCTGAGCCTGACCAGGGGCTGCACCTAGGGATTGGGTGTGCCCTCTGCCACCCGGGAGCAGGCCTAAGCCAGCAGGTCGTTATCTCCCGAGGGGTCCCAGACTGCAAGAGGGCACAGGCCGGGCTGAGGGACCCCCCCTTCCCCCCCGAGTGCACAAATTTTTGTGCACCGGGCCTCTAGTAATAATAATAATAATAATAATAATAATAATAATAATCCTATTTAAAAATGGAAAGACACACAGACAGATGGCCAACAGGCACACGGAAAGGTGCTCCACATCACTAAATCCTCAGGGAAATACAAACCAAAACCACACAGTACTCTCACAGCTTTTCAACTTTCTGTAAGTTTGAAATTATTTCCAAATAAAAAGTTAATTAACAAATAGAGAGGAACGAAGTCTTTGTTGCAACATAAGCTATAGACTGGTGGTTTCATATCATTGCGTTGGAATTCTTAAAGGGAGCATGAATCCATAAACATACCAGGAAATGTTCCATATATACATGTTCAATAATCTTCTGTATGTATGTGTAAACTGCTGTGAATGATCAAAGAAAAATGTACTTAAAAGTGTAACTAGCCCTGGCCAGTGTGGCAAGAGGCAGCCCATGCACCAAAGGGTCACTGGTGTGATTCCCAGGCAAGGGCACATGCCCGGGTTGCATTCTTTCTTTCCTTCCTTTCCTTCCTTTCCTTCCTTCCTTTCTTCTTTTTCTTTCTTTCTTTCTCTCTCTCTCCTCTCTCTCTCTTTCTCTCTCTCTCTCTCTCTCTCTCTCCCCTCCCACGCTCCCTTCCTCCCTTCTATTCTCTCTAAAAATCAATAGGAAAAATATCGTCAGGTGAGGATTAACAACAAAAAGTGTAACTAAATTCATAGAATCTTTTGGATATTATGTTTTCTAAAAATTTTGATAATAAAAGGAAAATTATTTTGTGAGTACAATGAAATGTTTCCCCTTACTTGAAAAAACAGGGAACTTCTTACTATTTGCAATGATGCTTTTCAGAACTATTACAAGAGGTTTCTAGTAGAGAACACAGATCAAAATTTAATGAAGATAAATGAAAGGACTGCGTTCAGTTTTAAACACAAAGAAACACGGCATGACTAGCAGACAAGGGAGACGGTTCAATAGCAGGCGAGAAGGTGTGGGGGGATCAGACAGAGCTCTGCATGTCCACAAGTGGAACCCATGCCAACGGTGGGATGTGGCTGCCAAGAACCTAATGCAGCGTTTAGCAGCATTAATTAAAATATTATTTAGGAGATAATAATCCAAATCTACACTAGTCAGAACAGTGTGAAGCAATGCATTCAATCCAGGGCCTCAGGACTCCTGCTTACAGCCCTGAGGGAGTAACTCCTGTGGAGGAAACGATGCGCCTGGTTAAACACAGACAGTCCCTGTGTGAGGACACGGAGACCACCTTCTTCCATCGTATACAAGAATACGCTCAAAATGGTTAAAGGCTTAAATATAAAACTTGAAACCATAAAAATCCTACAGGAAAACAGGCAATCATATCTCTGACATGTCTCTTAGCAGCATTTTTTCTGATGTATCTCCTCTGGCAAGGAAAACAAACAAACAAAATAAGCATCAAACTAAAAAGTGTCTTCACAGCAAAGGAAACCAAACACAAAGACAACACACTGAATGGGGAAGGTAGTCGCCAATGATACGTTCAACATGAAATAAAATGGAAGATGGATAGGGAAGGCCCAGCACGGGAAAATATTCACAGTGCACGCATCTAACAAAGGATCTGTACACAGCTTATATGAATTACTCCTACAAAGAGATGATAAGACAAAGCATCCAATTTCAAAATGGGCAAAAGACTGAACAGGCACTTCTAAACAAATTTCCAAGAAAATACTTATAATTTTGACTATTGTGAAATTTTGAATGAACATCTGATGAACAGGCACTGAGATGAGAGACATTTCTAATGGCTGTGACAATACAGGTTTCCCACTCTCAGAGTAGAGTGTTCCAAGGAAACCGTCCGTTAAGCCAAATGGCATAAAACTAAGCAATTGTCATTCATTTATTTATTTTTTATTTTTTAATATACTTTATTGATTTTTTACAGAGAGGAAGGGAGAGGGATAGAGAGAGTCAGAAACATCGATGAGAAACATTGATCAGCTGCCTCCTGCACACTCCCTACTGGGGATGTGCCCGCAACCAAGGTACATGCCCTTGACCGGAATCGAACCTGGGACCCTTCAGTCCGCAGGCCGACGCTCTACCCACTGAGTCAAACCGGTTAGGGCTGTCATTCATTTATATGCAGTGGTTCTCAACCTTCCTCACGCCGCGACCCTTTAACACAGTTCCTCATGTTGTGAGGACCCCCAACCATAACATTATTTTCATGGCTACTTCATAACTGTAATTTTGCTGCTGTTATGAATCGTCATGTAAATATCTGATATGCAGGATGTATTTTCATTGTTACAAATTGAACATCATTATAGCATAGTGATTCATCACAAAAACAATATGTAATTATATATGTGTTTTCCGATGGTCATAGGCGACCCCTGTGAAAGGGTCGTTTGACCCCCAAAGGGGTCGCGACCCCCAGGTTGAGAACCGCTGATTTATATGGATAACTGTGTGCGAGTTCCCAGATCCCCACACAGCCTGACACACGGAACCGAAAGTAACACGTCACAGTGAACGCAGGGCCACTCCCGCCGTCAGGACGCCACTGCCTGTTACTGCAGAACAAACACTGAATACGATTTTCGCTTTTCACTTTTTTTCACAAAAGTCATAAATCCTCTTCAGATTTCTTTGTTAAGCGAAACAGAATAATAATGTAGGACTTTCGTGAAAGCACAGTGGCTTGACCCAAGCTTTCAAAAAGCGAAGATACGTGTATCTTGTTTTGAAATACAGTAAGACCACTCATTTCCCTCCACACGGTAAATATGTAAAGTGGCTGAGAATCTACTCACTGAAGACTTGCGTCCTCTAAGAAATGTGATGATCATTACGTATTTCACTGACTCAACTGTGAAAGCTAAGCATTCCCTTTGTAAGTGTTGGACAGGTTTAACTGAGGAACTTCCTGGGATCGCTTATCTAGCTGATCCGAATTTTCTAAATCTCATGCAACTAGATAAAATACAGAAATGCAGCAGGTGTTCAGAAGATGTAAGACGACAACTGTTGTTCACAGCCCCCAATTTCAAGATTCTGTGTTCACTACTACAGACTCATTATTTTTGTTGATTGATTTTATAATATATAGGCTTTATAGCAAATAAATGTCAATGTGAACTTATAAAGTCCATTTAACAATGAAATGCTGCTTTTACCAGTTTTATATTTCGTGTTATAAAAGGAATTTGAAAAATCTGAAAAACAATGGTGGATTTAAGAACAGCCAAGCACTGACGGAGTCCCGGAAGTCCACAGACCTTGTGCAGAACACACTCACCATGGTAACGGTAACTGCTAAGCACACGGAACAGGACATAAATCACTGAGGCGAGTGTTCAACAAATGCATACAGGCCTTATCCCCATATAACTTTGCATATTTTATTGCAATACTTACTGGTGCTACTATTTTTCCTGTCTGTCCAACTTGCATGTCATTGGGAACAAAGCCAGCATCAACAGCAGCACGAGAAGCACCAACTAAGGGGGAAAATGGTCATTTTTAAGCCTGATGATTCAGCTAGCTGGGATATCACTGATAATTATAGAACAAAACAAAAACCCCAACACTGATCTAGTACAGTTAGAAATTTACTTTATTAAGGTCTTACGTTATCAACTCCTTCCTTTATCAAGCCCCTTTATTTCTCAATGATTTTTATCTTCTGGGTCATTGTCACTTTCTCAAATACTAGTCTTCACTCTTGGAGATTTTAACACCCTGGATTCTTAGTTCTTAAACGACTCTCCTCCAGTTACTGTCGTCCGTGCTACCTCACCCACACCCATGGCCATATCCAACTTTTCTATTACCAATATCCCCTGACAACTCCCATTTCCAAAGTCTCTCTGTGACCCGCCTCTTCCTGACTGACTTCCATTAGTGCCTAACTCCAACAATCCTCTAACCTCACTGGGACCCACAATTCTATTCCCTGTCTTTCTCTCCCCTCATATGTTCTACCTTTCCTATAAATGATTAAATACAATTTTAAAATATTAAATGTTCATTTCAATTTGTATGAGATTTATATTAGACCACCAATAAAGAAAAAAACAAGGGCATTCCTGAATCTGAAGTAGGCACTGAAGCTAATATTTAAATTCTCTTAAAAATGGAAAAAACTACTAAGATTTGGCAAATTAAGTGTTACATAAATAATAAAAAAGACTGGAGACGCCCACTCCTCACTGAATGCTTTACCATTAACTTGGAGACTAAGAAAAACTGTTTCAGAGAGAAACGTAAAAACTGAAAAAAGTAACATAATTTTCAGCCTTGAGTGACACAGATAAATGAAAAAATAAAGAAAAAAGATCTCCATGAAAAGGGAACATTTTTCTACTCAGGAAAACAACTTTACCTGCAGCATGTAGTTGATCTGCCAAATCATATAACAACTTAAAGTTCTCGCCACTCTTCAAACCCCGACCTCAATAAAAAAGAAAAAAAAATAGGCAAATATAAACTCCATTCTACAAAAACTTTGCAACTTTGTATACCTGAGCGATCTTCGCATTTCACAGCGGTCACCGTAAGCATGCCCCCTCCTCCGAGAAGCCTGTCCCGTCTTCCCGGTGATGCTCCTATACTTCCGAACAGCATTCAATGCCGCTGTAATTAACTAACCAGTTAACTACGGGGATAACCCATCTTTCAATCAGTCTCCGCACTGGAACAAAAACTCTTTAACTGCGGGATCCATATCTATCTCGGTCACTGCTATATCCACGGTATTTAGCACAACTTCACGGAATGACTGAAGTGGTTTGAATGGAAGTCATTCCACTAGACTTCCCACACCCCACCAGCAAGAAGCCCTGCCTTCCTCTCTCCCCAGCACTGTGCCATGGGCCTGGCACAGAGCAGCACCCAATAACAATCATTTCTTGAATAAATAAGGGATGAAACGAGTCAGATATATCTTTTCAACATGTTAAATTATTTCCCCTCAATGCCTCTTGCCAGTGCAAGGCTATCTGGAAGCTTACTGATTTTGTTTGATGTTTACTTTGGAAAGATTTTAAAATCATAGCAGACTATATAAAATGGGTGTGTGTTTTTCTAAAAACAGGAGCATGATATACAAAAAGAAGCAAGCGTGAGCAACATTAACAGCTTTGATATTAAACGTGAAGAAACTTTCACAGAGTTATTCATAGAGAAGGACCCTGTAAAGCACAGCAAGTTGAAGCCAAGTCGTGTGAAGGGTGAGAATCACACCACACGGCCCAACATTCCCCCCAATTCTTTCTATGACTCACAAGCCAACCGTACTCCTCAGAATAACTTGGAAGTCAGTCAATAAACAAAGATACTAAGTTGTAGAGTTAAGTTGATAAGCTCTGTACTATGCTCCCCCTGGTGCCAGGGACACAGATTCGCACCAGAAAGCCCAACTTGGGTGTTAAACTCATGATTTCATTTTCCTCCTTGGTGAAATGGAAATAATACTCACAAGTTACCTACTTCTTACATTTGGGGGAAAAAATCTGTGCTCCTCTAAAATAAACATTAATAAAATCAAAGTATTTTAACTTGACATTATCTTTTAAAACTAACACATTACAAATCTCACTCACCGCCAGATACCACCACTTTGGCGCCAGTTAGCTCTGGTCGATCACTTTTGGTTAATTTCTGGTCGAGCCACTCTGATATCCCCACCGGGGAAGTACTGGATGCTGCATACATTGATATATATGTATGACAAAACAATGACTATGAATTCCAGTTGTAAAACAACAATTTTTAAGAGAAACACACAAAGAATTAATTCCATGAAATTTAAGTTTGCTGGCTGCTGTACATTTTCTGGGCTCCCACTTACATTCTCTCTGATTTTTTGAAAGATGACAGGGACCAGACTCTAGCCTTTCCCTCATGGGCTGCATGCCTTCTAGAAGTCAGTTAATTCTGAGATTTACCTATAAAATGACATAACCCTGTCTACGCGGTTCCAATAAGATGCTGTGCATGTTAAGGTGTAGCACTGGCTGCCCATTTACTATCACATCCTTCCACTCAGCAGAACCTCCAAGGATCACGGCAGGAACAGTGAGAGGAGAGCAAAAACCTTAACATCCACGGAGCACATTCATCTTCACCCTTTGGGAACTGTGCTAACACTGCCGAGGCATTGTTGCTGATTGTACAGCAGTTCAGGAAATCTGCAATGAAGAGTGAACTACCGGCATCTCACGGTGACACTGCGGGAGGAGCGCCATCGAGCACCTGGCACGCTAGGGGTTGATGGGCCCTCTCTCCCCCACCCCTTTGACCTACCAAAGCAGCTATCCTTGCACCAAACGTGACATGAAAAAGATGTTCTAAATATTTCTTACTTTGGGGTCAGACTGGGAATATCACGGCGCGTTCTCTGCATTAGAAGTTTAACCAGAGACCATCTCTCACGCTCATCTACGAACAGAAAAACAAATGCAGACCGCAAATGAACGCTCACCCTTCTCAGAACTGGCACCACCTCCACTTGTTGCTGCCGCTTCAAAAGCCGTTCCTCGGACAGAAAACACCTTCACCTTTTCATCACACTTCACTGTACATAACGCATTTCCTGAAATACAGGTTTTTGTTTAAAAAAAAGACAGCAGCCAGGAAAGATAACAAAGCATACTCTTTTGGTTCAGAATTTACTTCACACACACACAGGGCAGAAATAACTGTGGCCACTTGTCTCCTTCCTCTACTAAGTGTAGGGGGAAAGGCCTAACACTAAGGAACATATCAGAACAGATTGGTTTAACCTTGGGTGTATTTAAAAATAGGACAAGTTGCTGACCTGCCTAGAAGCTACTAATTGAAATAGGAAACCACACTAATACGGCACTCTCTTCCTAAAAGGAATATAAAGAAAAACTTCCTCCTCCAACAACAACACAATCAGTAACTCCACAGTATGAGCTGCACCAACTGAAGAATAAAGTGCTCTGCCTGCTGAGGGAGGAGAAGAAGTGAAAGATGACAGGGCATAAGGAAGAGAAGTGTGGCCTGGCCGTGTGGCTCAGCTGGTTGGCCACCTTCCCATGCACCGAAGGGTCGCTGGTTCAGCTCCCGGTCGGGGCACATGCCTGGGTTGTGGGCTCCATCCCCATCGTGGGCGTGCAGGAGGCAGTCGATCAATGCTGCCCTCTCGCATTGATGTTTTTCTCTCTCTTCCTCTCCATTCCTCTCTCTCTAAAAATCAGTGAAAATATTTTTGAAAATAAGAATAAGAAGCGTGATAGAGATTTTAAAAGGTTTTGGGACTTTTCTTATTAAATAGCAATCACACTAAGAATGACCTAAACTATGACCAGATATTTCTCCTCAAACTCTACTAAAGATCAAAGTTCTGATTTGGGAGTGACCATTTATCTTGAAACACACAACTTCAATCAGAAAGAATTAACAACACAGTGTGCTTAGCCAAAGGTCAATCAACCAGAGAGACACTGAAATGAATTTCTTAGCACAGATGGAAGGGAAGCAGCAAAGAAGACTGAAAATGCTATTTTTAAAAAAAAAGAACAAAAAAGAGAGTGTTGCTTTTCCAGGTGTCACTCACAAAATGTATTGAATAAGGAATCCAATTCTTACTGACACTGGATGACCGTGCTCTGGATCTATCAGAGAGAATGTCCTGTCCTGGTCTAGCTACAACGCGAAGGTTTTTCTCAGGAACCTTTAAGATGGTCCATTCAAAGCACATGTATGATTTTTAAAAAATCCTGACTTCAAGATTAATTTCTGCTTGTAAAATTGACAAACATGTAACATTGTAAATTAATTACTTTCCTCAGGTGCTCACCTGCATAAATAGTTCTCACAAATGTGTCAGGTGACTTGATTGCAATGATGTCAGAAATCGGGGCAACATCAAGTTTGGCTGCGATTCTGGGCAAAAGGTTCTAAGAGCAAAATAAGCAGTAAGTCATACACAGACATGCCCATGAACGGCTCCACACTGCCAGCGACAACATTCTCTAAATGCATATTCTGCAGAAATTTTAATTCAAATATTTTATATTTCACATACGTCTTTAGACACTACAACTTTAAGCACAACTTTTTGAATAGTCTTTGTATTAAATAAGAGTCTTTCATGACTCTAACTACATTAAGAATTTGAGTTTTACATGTTAATAAACCACCTTAACTCAGTAAGTTGAATTATGAGATGCTATCTGCTTTAATGAACATCACTTACAAAGTGTGACAGTTATGTATTACTGAATTTAGACGAGAAAAAATAGGAAAATACTTAGAAGAACAGTAAAATTCTCAAACTAAGAATATACTTGTATATATTTACTTACTGTATATATACACATACATAAAAAAGACTTCAAAGGGGATAAAAGAAAAGAAACCTAGGAGAACCCCCATGACCCCAGAGAGAAGGGAAGACACCCTGACAAGACTCCTCTGGAGCCCCCCCCCGCCACCTTTATTAGGAACCTCTCCCTGCAGACCACCACCCTGTGGCGCACACTCCCTCCTCCGCCCAGCACAGGGCACTAACCAGGTCACAGCTGTTTCACACTAAGGATGTCTCCGCCCACCACACAGCTCTTCCCAAATCCCCAACGAGGGAGAATCTGGCCTTTCTCAATATCCATCCGTTACCCAAACAAACCAACTCTTAAGATGGGTGACAAATACAAATGACATTCACGCTCACACAGAGAGAGTTCAACATGGTTTTTAAAAATAAATTTTTAAGTAGCCTCCATGACAAAACTAGAAAATCTGGAAGTGGCATTCTAATAAATGATGACAAAATCTTAAAAGAGCAGAGTTGTCTCTGACAAAATTCGAAAACATGGAGATCACGTTTTAACAGAAATTGTAACAAAACTTTGCAATAAATTTTAGCAAAACTACCACATTAATTCAGAAAGCCAAGACCAGCTCTCAAAACAAAGTCTGCTGTAGTTTCAGCACGGTGACCTCTAGCCCTTCCGAGTAGTGACATCACAGCCCACCCTCCACCTGCTCACCTTTCCGAAGGCAGACGCTCCCGCACAGATGTGCGTGTAACTGAACTGCTTCTGAGTTGCCAAAACCAATGGTGTCAGTTCCTCTGAGAATCAAACACATCTGATAAGTAGATTTCATAATATTCCCACATCATATAGTCATCAATGAGACATTACATTCTGGTCCACTGGAAAAACCTACCTGGAAGAAGGCCCTTGTATGCATCATTCTGAGCCACCAGAACTTTTGCTACACCTGCTACTTTGCAGAGATCTTGGGCCACCTGTGATTAAAAGTGTTTAATTATCCATCTAACAGGAAGATGCAAACAGAGCCACCACTACAAGTATCAAGAGAGCATAAATCCTTAAAGGGCACTTGTAAGAATCCTTATCAGAGAAAGGGCTTACTCAGAAATAAAAAATATATACCCTTTAACAAAGAAAACCTATGTCAATTGATCTTACAAATTGACCTTAAACAAAAATTCCTGCCTTAAAAATGCAAGTACTAATTGATAAACCAAAATCCACAAAGCTCTCATCAAATTTAGTCGTACCCTGTTCTCCTTACCTTTCATTTCGTGCAAGTTCATCATTTTAGAAAGAGTGGAAATGGGCAATGACTAGGTTCTCTCTGTCTCTCACAATAACACAGCCAATACACTGCAGCCTCAGGGTTCCCAGGGGTAAGAACAGGACCCAGCCACAGTGGTTCACGGCCACAGCCCTTTACTGGCAATGACTCTGCTGATGTTAGAATCAGTGAGTCTGGGCAAGCCCAAAGTCTCCTGTCAGTCCGTTCACTGGCCACCACTGAGTTCCTGCCCACTTACATTTATTTGTCTGTAATGAAATACAGATTCCAATTCCTCATTTTTCCTGTTTGGATCAGGATGGGGTTCTGCCTTTGGACCACTCAGGTTTCCTGTACAGAGAGGCAGCTAGAAGTCCCCCTTCTCAGTCTCTGAAATCACAGCATGGCTGGCTTCCGCTTTAGCGGAAACACGGCAATCCTATTACAGTCTTCTGTCTTCTGGTTGGCCTCCATGCTGACTCACTGATGAGCAGGCACAAAAGGCTGTGTCTCCTGCCCCCTCAAAGGATGGCAAGGCTGGGAGAGGATGCTGAACCTCTGCTGAATCAAGTGTCACTGGCAGGCAGGCCACCCTGTTCTAGCAAACTACCTTCTTATTATCAGCAAAAGCTTCGGGTACTGCACAGAGAAATCACCTGCTGCCGATGATGAACGGCTACATAAAACAGTACACAACTGAAATCTGCCTCGGCTACTAACGGTCTCCTCATACAGGCACTGATCGTTTTCCTTTAAGAACAGAACGTGACAGGATAATAAAACTGTAACTGAACAGAAGATGATTTCTGCTTTGATTTTTCTCAAAATAATGTAAATAAAATAGCATTTCAAATATTTTAACATAATATTAGAATAATTATTTAAAATCACAGCAAATAAACAATCAAACCCAGAACTTGTATATCTGAAATCCAGGGAACCAAAAAAGATAGCACAGTCCTATCCCATCGATCGGCACCAGGGGCTAGTGTCAACCACGTCAGGCTCAGTAGTTGTTAGCAGCTTTAGGAAGAGAAATCCATAATTTAACCCCAAGCCAGCCAGAATACGTTCTTTTAAGGTATCAGTGTCATGTAAGAAGTCAGAAGCCACACTGGCATTCTGAGCCTTATTATACCACACGGTCTGCAGCAATGAACGGCATTGAATAAACAGTAAATTCCTGCAAACAGAGAAGGAAACACGCCTTCCCCAGATGCCGTCCCCGAAGGTCCCGAGGGGTGTGGGAGGGACCTGGAGGCTCCGGCTGCATCAGCGTCACTGAAGCCCGATGTCACCTGCATCAGCCAGGGGACCAGGCCCCGCACACCGGGAGGCGCGTTCACAGAGCGGTCACGGTCTTACGCCAACAACAAAAACGAATGCCATTACTGACGCAGACCACACCGCTCTCACTGGAAGGCACAGGACTACTTCCATTTGAGTCCTTACCCCAATGAAAGGAGCACGCATGGTACTGGGTCCAGATTTACCACTTTCAGGAATTAAAAGCAATTAGCAAGTATATTCATCAATACAAAAAGGAATCGGCTATTAACCTCTAAGGGGACTCCGATATTATCATTCTCCTTGGTACCTGATGGCACACGATGGTGCCAGGGGAACTAAATCAAGGTTCTACCTCATTCAGAAGATGGAGTGCTTAGTGGGCACCTGGGTTCTCTTCACACACAGTGAGGGTGTGACACTGCCCCGTAATGAGGACGGGCCGGTGTGGGTCAGTCCTCACCGTCATTCTCTGTCGCCATCTTTCCCTGTCTCTGATGGAGATTATATTTGCTATGTTTGACCTTAAAGTCTCTCACCTTGTCACATTTGGTTCCAGCTATTAAGCAGGACACTTCACCTCCCAGGCGTGTGGCTGCAGTGATGGTGTGTAATGTGATGGGTGCTATGGTGTCGTTTGCATGCTCAGCTATTACCAGGGTACTCTGAAATCGAAGCAATGTGGCCTAAAAGAGGGAGAAAATGGAAAAGAATCTTATAAAACACATTTTTTTTTACTGATTGCTAAGCATGTGTGCTTTAAAGAAAACTGTTCACAATATTCAGTTCTTAAATCCTATATAATAAAAGGCTAACAAGCAAATTGACCAAACAGTGGAACGACCGGTTGCTATGATGTGCACTGACCACCAGGGGCAGACGCTCAATGCAGGAGCTGCCCCCTGGTGGTCAGTGCGCTCCCACAAGGCGAGTGCCGCTCAGCCAGAAGCCGGGCTCACAGCTGGTGAGCACAGTGGTGGTGGGATCCTCTCCCGACTCTGTGCAGCACTAAGGACGTCCCCCGAGGGCTCCCGGAAGGTGAGAGGGCGCAGGCCAGGCTGAGGGACCCCCCCCCCCCAGTGCACAAATCTTGTGCACCAGGCTTCTAGTGTATTTATAAAACACTTGCTCAGTAGCAAAAACTAGACTATTGTGTCTACCACTCTATTACTAATATTCATACCTAATAAAACAAACATGCAAAAATTAGTATTCTACTGTTAGAAAATTTTGAGAATTATTTCAAAATAATTTCCCCATTAATCTATGTTCAATGAGAAACTCCATGTACACATAAACTTAAAGTCCTTAAGCAGAACTTGTTAGTATCAAAGTAGGGAACAACTACTACCGATCACACTCACTGGTCAAAAGAAACAAATGGACATTTAAGGCCTTTTCCAGCTCAAAAGTTCCATCACCCTAAAATCCTACTTTAAATACACGAGTGGCATAGAATACGACTAAGGATTTAAAGAGTACGACAACGAAAGATTCAAAAACTAGATCCATTACTGAAAAGGCTTTTTTATTTTTTTATTAAGTTATTACATATGTGTCCTTATCCCCACATTACCCCCCCCACTCACGCCCTCACCCCCCTGTTGTCTGTCCACTGGTTAGGCCTATGTGCTTGCATAGAAGTCCTTCGGTTGATCTCTCCCCCTCTGAAAAGGTTCTTAAGCAAAAGTCACTTGGTTATTTTATCTTATGCACCATTCAAGGGTCCCCTTTTTTATGGAGAAAAAGAGCCAAGATCTTAAATATTTAAAGATAATAATTGAAATACGTAATAAGGTAACTAACTACCCAGAAAAGAACCCCTATCTCTTCAAAGCACTGCTACTTAGCCCTGGCCAGTGTGCTCGGTGGTTAGAGCGTCGACCCGCACAACAAAGGGTCTCGAGTTCGGTTCCTCGTCCAGGGCACGTGCCAGGTGCAGGTCTGGTCCTGGCCCCGGTCAGCGCCTGCAGGAGGCAACCAATCGATGTGTCTCTCTCACATGGATGTTTCTCTCTCCTCCTCCCTTCCTCCTCCCCACTCTCTCTGAAAAAAATATCCTCAGTGAGGATTAACAAAACAACAAAACAACCCACAGCAAGCACTGCTGTTTAACCCAGATGATTACTGTGGGCCGTCGCTGTCAATCCTGGGCCCTCAGAACCCCCTGGCAATGGTGCCGGCGCTCAGACACCGGCCTCCGAGGCGCCTCCCACGCCCAGCTGCTCCCTCCTCAGAGCGGGCCTGGCCTGGCATCCTGCTTCCCCTGAGCTGAAGCGTCAAAGGGCCTGGCCCCTCCGCACACCCAGCCCTCGGTGCGCCGGCCGGCAGCGTGCAGACCTGTCGGACCAGGGCAACAGCACCCAGCGCTCCCAGAGGACGGACCCGGCTGCGGATACACCGAGCTTCAAAAAGGAAAACGAGAAGCGTCCTTCCTCCTTCCTCACACCAGCCACACCCTGACTCCAGGTGACGGGCCTGAGACACGGCTCCCCGCCCACCTGAGCATCACAGACGCTGCCACGTTCACACGGAGGCAGGACGGCTGCAGAACTGGGACTGACAGTCCCCCTGAGGTCGGCCCGAGTCACCCTCCGAGGCTGGGGTCAGGGGTCACTGTGCACTTTGGGAGCCAAACTTCTTGGAGAGGCCCACACGCACCGGCCCTGCTGCCTCCTCTCGGGCTCCCCTGCTCACGGCAAACTGGCTCTCCCCTCCCGGCAACACCGCGCCCACCTCCCGAGTCACCAGCCACCGGCACTCGCGGAGCCAGGGACACATCGGGCCCTTCTCCCATCGACCTGAACAGCTGTGCTGCTGCCTCCGCTTCTCATTCTCTGAGAAGCGACCAAGGAGATGAGCTGCTCGAGTTCCTCCGGAGACTAACTGTGGGCAGGAAACTCCACAGGTGTGGGACCAAAAAGAGCTGGAATCTAACTCCCTCCTCTACCTCAAGCAGGAAGAACAGTTTTAACCCACGTCCCCACCTTTAAAAAGTGAGGGGTACGGGTGAGGAGGGGGGGTGTGAGGGTCTCTTTGCTCCTTCACTCGAACACTTAGAAGCAGGAATAACCAACAGTCTCTTCAAGTTCTACTGAAAGAGATGAATATGTACTTAGTCACCTGTCTATTTTGTAACATATCCATTTTGTAGTAAAATATATCGTACATTCCTGTACTTAAACTAAATAACTAAATAACTCACTTAAACCTCTTTCATAATAAAACACGGTACCTGTTACTCATGAGTAGAAATGTCGTATGACATTGATTCTAATATTAACAACAGTCAATTCACTTCCCTTTAAAAACAGACAAGACCCTTGGTAGACACACTGGCAGGAGCATAATTTTATGGAATTCACCTCATGCAATAAATCTTTCTAAAACCACATCAAAATTGGCTCTCTTTCTTTTCAAAAGAAATTAAAATTTGCATGTGAATTACAGAGTTCACTCTCTCATCCGTCAACGCTAAGCCATGGACTCTGAAAACTGCCATTTCCTCCCGAAGCTTCACAGCTTCCGAACCACGACAGCTACGCCGTCCACTGGCAACGCACACGGGCACAGGGCACGCCGACGACCTTGAAAGCGTTGCTTCACTCGCCACAGAACATGTTTCTTTGGTACTTTATTAGCCAACAAAGTAATTCCAAGTGCAAACGAGGAAAAGAATACAAATAACTCAGGTTACTATCCCCACAAGAATGCGAACCAACTGCAAACGCCACCCATTTTCCTCTCGCGTGTCCCCAGCTCCGACTGTCGACATAAAACACCGCCTTCCTGAACGGACGACATTGGGCAGCCCCCAAGGTGAAGGGCTTTGCTCAAGGGCACCGATAGGTCCAAACTGGAAATGAACTTAGATCCAAATGCAAGTCCCTTAACTCACACTCTGACAGTTTAAGGTGTTTCCTTTTTTTTATGATCGTGGTTATAAAGTAAAACTGACCATCTGAACCCTTTGTAAGTGTGCAGTTCAGTAGTGTTACGTGTCAAGAGTGGGGATTTCAGATGAGCTGGGGTGACGTGAACACATCATAAGTGTAAGTGGAACAGGGGCCAGAGTGAGGGACTCCACTGAGAAACATGGGACAACTTGCGCCTCAAAACTTTAAGCGGAATAATGGTGTAACCTGCCGCTAAAGGGCCCACACGTCCATACGTGCACCCACATTTATGGGAAGGGACTGATCCTCCCACAATAAACAGGAAGCTGGAAAGCGCAGGAGGAATGCCGGGACTAGACAAACCACGCTCCTGGCAGCGATCATCGCTCAGGCAACAGACGCTAAGCCTCGGGGTGAAAGTCCGACGAGAAACAGGAGCCCCAGCGTCTCATGTATCCACGCGTCACGGCTCCACGTATCTCCCTGCAAATCCGTCTGTAAACACGGCCTGCACCCCGACAGCGAGAGTCCACACTGGTCACCTGAGCGCACACCGCCCTCCCCGACTCACACAGGCGGCCCGAGTGCTGTGCACGGCGGCTCAAGTGAAATGTCTCAGAGCAGAAAGTCAGGCCGAGGACAAGGTCCCCCAAGAAGCTGAGCATCGCCAGCAACGCTAGGGCCGCAGAACGCGTCCTAAGTTCTCCCAGTTCATGAAACACCTTTCCCATTACTGCGCAGGTAGGTAAGGGGTGTGTGTGTTTGTGTATCTGTGTCTGTGTGTGTGTGTGTCTGTCTGTTGTGTGTGTCTGTGTGTCTCTGTGTGTGTGTGTCTCTCTCTCTGTGTCTGTGTGTGTCTGTGTATCTGTGTGTCTGTGTCTGTTGTGTGTCTGTGTCTGTGTGTCTGTCTGTTGTGTGTGTGTGTCTCTGTGTGTCTGTCTGTTGTGTCTGTCTGTTGTGTGTGTGTCTCTCTCTGTGTGTCTGTCTATCTGTGTGTCTGTGTGTGTCTCTCTGTGTGTGTGTGTCTCTGTGTGTACTGTCTGTCTGTTGTGTGTGTGTGTCTCTCTGTGTCTGTGTGTCTGTCTGTTATGTGTCTGTGTCTCTCTGTGTCTGTGTGTGTGTCTGTCTGTTGTGTGTGTGTCTGTCTGTGTCTGTGTCTGTGTGTGTATCTGTCTCTGTGTGTGTGTCTGTGTGTGTGTGTCTGTGTGTGTGTCTGTCAAGGGTGTGTGTGTCTGTGTGTCTCTCTGTGTCTGT